TTTTTTCAACCCACACACAATATCTTTTTGATTCATTAATTCATACAAATTTATCTCAAATTTTGTATTTTACATAGGAGGTAGGGCCAGGCTCCACCCCTATGTTGCCCCATCCTCTCATTATTATTGCTTCTTTTGATCAAAATTGTCATTTCTTTTTGTTTGCAGTGGATTTTGGACTATATATTTATTTAATAGGACTACTTTTTATTTCCCTTTTTGGAGAATATATCCACACACAAAGAAAGATTCTGGTATGTTCCTTCTTTATTTTCGTTTTTTCCAACATCTTTTCATGTTAATTATATTGAAATATGTAAATGTTTTTTATTAATCCGTAATCGAAACATGATTATGTTTAAGCTTTGGAGGTTCTATTCCAACTCGCATCTTACAACATCTGGATTAGCTTGGATTTGTTCAAGAGTTCCAAGTTGGTTCTCTTTTTTCTTCTTTTTGGGTGAGGTTTGGGGGGGGGGGGGGGGGTTAAAATCCAGAATATGGTAAATTCATTTTATGGGCATAAACTAATTAATTGATGTATCCCATAAAAGTGCAAGTTTTATGAAGGCTAATAAACGGTGAGCTGTTTGAGAATTGGCTAATCTTGTTTTAAGCATGGTTTGATTTTATAAGCTTGCTCGTTTTTGGTTCAATCTGATGATCATTGGTTACTTCTGGCATATATATAGTTGTTGTAGGGAGTTTGATCAGCTTGATTGATTGTGTCTTTTCTATTTTCAAGTTCTATAGTTCACCTGGTGTTTGTTGGTGTTGAGTCCCACGTCGCTAGGTGGAGGAGCCCATTTGTCTCCTTATATGATCTTTGGGCAATTCTCTCCACACGAGCTGACTTTTGGGGTTGCGTAAGGCCTAAGGTCCTGTTATCATGGTAATAGAGCCAAACCCACCCCCAATTTATAGTTACTGATGTTGGACTTGTCCACGCTCCAGTTTGCAAGCCTGGGCGTGAGGGAGGGTTTTGAGTCCCACATTAGTGGGGGGAGAGGTCATCCGTCTCCTTATATGACCTTAGCTAATCATCACCTCAAGAGCTAACTTTTGGGGTTGAGTTAGGCCCCAGGTCATTTATCAGTTAGAAGCGTTGTATATCTCCTAACTTTTTCTATGATTAATTTGTCAATTTCAAGGTCTCCACTTGTTTATCCTTAGCTCTTATTCGAAAATGGAAGATGCGAAAGATGTCAAGCAAAATGTTCCAGAATCCTCTCTTAAACCTGAAGTTTCCTCTCCAAACGACGATCAATCATATAGTGCAACTCAAACCAGCCAACATGCGAATGAAAATGCAAAATCCGAGACTCGGGAGCTAGCTGCGGATGTTTCGGAGCATGTAGGAGAGGCTTCTCACAGCTTATCTTCAGAAAAGAGTGAGACTCATCCAACAGAAACTTTTATTTCAGCCTCTCCTATTAAATCTGATGAACCCAGTCCATCATCTTTATCAAATGCAAAACCAACTGGTTCTAATGGTAGTGTTCACGATCAACTAAACAATACTTGTGATGAACCAAAAGACGAGAGAGATGCTTCATCATTGTTAACTAGGAATTCAGATACATTGGCCGTAAATGAGGAAAAAATAAAAGAATCTTCTGAACATATTCAATCTAATCATTCAGGAGCAGAAGCAAGTAACACTTCACTGCTTCATTTTCAAGATAATTCTCCTAGTAGTACCCAAACTGCTGATGATTCACCTTCTAGTTCTCCTCTCCAACTGACAAAACCGGAAAATAACAATCATGTACAGCCACCGGATAATATCGGTCAGCCCCTAGCCAAGGCTTCCGCTCTCAAAATTAAGATCCCGGGACCCACTGCCCATTCTAAGCATCCTGAAAACTTTGACATAAACAAGGTTCAAATCGACACAGCAGCACCAATCGAATCTGTGAAACAGGCAGTTTCAAAGTTTGGAGGGATTGTCGACTGGAAGGCTCATCGGCAACAGACAATGGAGGTAATCTCTCCAACCCTTTAGATTACAGTATTTGATTCTTGATTTAGATAGCCAAATCGCTTGCGTTAGATGGGTGTCTTCTAGACAAATTTATATTATGATTCTGTTTGATGTATCATTCTTTCTGGTAAGTCCACGTGACTGTGTGACACAAGTAGTGTCTCCTTAGCTTATATATGCACTTGTATCTACTTTATGTCTACATGCAACTTGGTGGCCATCTATTACACTACTTCCTCAGGTGTTATTTTACTGTTGACTTTTAAAGTTTGCTTTTTTTGTTCTTTGTTTGTGCAGAGACGGAATCTTGTTGAGCAAGAGCTAGCAAAAGTGCAGGAGGAGATCCCGTTGTATAAGAAACAGGCGCAGGATGCAGAAGATGCAAAACTGCTTGTTCTGAAAGAACTAGATAGCACTAAGAGACTCATAGAAGAGTTAAAGCTCAACCTAGAGAGAGCACAGACAGAAGAGCAACAAGCAAAACAGGACTCAGAACTTGCCAAGCTCAGGGTAGAAGAGTTGGAGCGAGGGATAGCTGATGGCGCTAGTATTGCTGCCAAAGCACAGCTTGAAGTTGCCAGAGCCAGGCATGAAGCTGCAGTTTCTGAGCTCAAAAATGTGAATTCTGAATTAGAAGTTCTCCGTAAAGATTATGCTTTATTGGTGTCTGAAAAAGATGTTGCCATCAAAAAAGCAGAAGAAGCTGTTTCGGCATCAAAAGAAGTTGACAAGACACTGGAGGATTTGACTATTGAGCTCATCAACGCGAAGGAATCTTTGGAGGCTGCACACGCTGGACATCTGGAGGCAGAGGAACACAGAATTGGAGCAGCTATGGCGAGAGAGCAAGATACATTAAACTGGGAGAAAGAACTGAAGCAGGCAGAAGAGGAGCTTGAGAAGTTAAATCAACAAATTCTGTCTGCAAAGGATCTTAAAACAAAATTAGATACTGCTTCAGCTTTGCTACAAGATCTAAATGCTGAGTTGGCAGCTTATATGGAATCAAAGTTGAAAGAGGAGGCTGATGGAGAAGGGAACTTGAAAGTAGAGCTGTTAGAGCCCGAGAAAAGAACTCATTACGAGATACAAGTAGCAGTGGCATCGGCTAAGAGGGAACTTGAAGAAGTGAAGCTCAACATTGAGAAAGCAACAGCTGAAATAGAATGCCTGAAAGTGGCAGCTGCTTCATTGAAGGCTGAATTGGAAAAGGAAAAATCAGAACTAGCTGCCGTACAACAGAGAGAAGGAATGGCAGCAGTTGTTGTTGCATCTCTTGAAGCTGAGTTGAACAGGACAAAGTCAGAGATTACCCTTTTGCGGACGAAGGAAAAAGAAGCAAGAGAAAAGATGGTGGAGCTGCCCAATCAACTTCAAGAGGCAGCAGAAGAGGCCGATCGCGCAAAGTCACTTGCTCAAATGGCTCGTGTAGAGCTGAGGAAGGCGAAGGAAGAGGCAGAGCAAGCAAAGGCAGCAGCTAGTACCATGGAAAGTAGACTGCTTGCAGCTAAAAAAGAGATAGAGGCTGCAAAAGCCTCAGAGAAGTTGGCACTAGCAGCTATCACTGCTCTACAAGAGAATGACTCAACCCGAAGCACCAACGATGAAGTAACACTTTCTCTGCAAGAGTATTATGAACTCAGCAAGCAGGCCCACGAGGCAGAGGAACAAGCGAACATGAGGGTGACTGCTGCTATCTCCCAAATAGAAGTAGCCAAGGAATCAGAGTTGAGTAGTCTAAACAGGCTCGAGGAGGTTAATCGTGAGATGACTGAAAGAAAGGAAGCACTGGAAATCGCGCAGCAGAAGGCCGAGAAAGCCAAGGAAGGAAAATTGGCAGCAGAGCAAGAGCTGAGGAAATGGAGAGCGGAGCATGAGCAAAGACGGAAAGCTGGTGTATCTGTTCTACCAGTAAACAAAACAAGGAGCCCAAGAATGAGTGTTGGGGAGAGTAAAGAATCAAAAGCTTCTGAACGTGCACAGGAGGATACTGTACTTCATCAAAGCTCAAGTCCAAAAGAATATGTTCAAACAACCAACACTGAAACTGATTCATCTCCAGAAGTGAGGATCCCAAAGAAAAAGAAGAAGTCCTTCTTCCCACGCATCTTTATGTTTCTGGGCAGAAAGAAAGCACAGGCCAAGGCAAGATGATGATCTCTGCTGTTTCACAACATCTTGTCATTGTTTACTATCGCTGCTCCATTTTTCTTGGTTTGAGAAGGGTAAATAAATACTTGTAGAATATTTATTGCATATGCTGAGGTGTTTTATGTACAGTACTGAATTAATTCTCACTTTCTGGATCGCAGATTATAGAGGGCAATAAGTTTGTCATAGGTTTGGCTATCTCAATGAGCCTTTGCCTATTAAAGTTGTTGGCGGCTTCAAATGTGTACTCCAGCTAGTTCTGCAAAAAGCTAGCAGCAATTCAAAAGTTTGGCCTCCTGAAGATATCAGTTCAAATGTGCAGTTATGTTGTAAATTGATGTATTTACACTGTACCTAACTTCTGTGGTTTGAAAAATCATCCCAAGATCCCCTGGCCTTTAATCTTTGTGTTGAAACCATATGATACCATTCTGTCCCCCATATGCTATGCCTACTATTTTCCCCAATTGACCATAATCACTATTACAGATCCTTCAATTATTATACATCCAGAAATGAATATATATATGTAAGTTATTATATAGGTTGCTCTGCTTCACTGAATGGCCATTACATGATGACATTGCGGCATGTCAATAATAGGAACGATATCTCAATAGTGAGTTTGATGGACTTTGGGACCTTCAGTAACTTATATTACCACACAAAAATGGATTGGTTATTTCAATCAATTTAGACATTGATCTATGATGGCTTACAGACAAATTTTACCACATCTGAATTTGTAGAAAATCTCAATATTTATTAACTGGAAGATGCTGATACCCCGAACCACTCTACAATACAGTTTTAAGTTTCCATGTACCTAGAACCATCTTCAGGTATCCAACATTTTGCAGCTATCTTCCAAAAAGTTAATAACTCCAGAAGTAAATTCAAGAATCCAACATCACATTAACCAAAGTATTTGAAGTAAAATTGATATTTCCCATAAATGTTTTTTGATTGAATTGAGCCATGTATAAATTTGCCTGTACATTTACCATTACATGGTGAAGGCCAGATGGAGCGACAGTGAAACTCAAAAACTGTGAGAAATTAATGCCGACTGTTTATTCTCTCCTTTTTGTACAAAAGAAATTCGTGCTTGTTGTCCTCTACAAACGGGACACCAAAGTCAGTTGTTACTCTTTTGGTCTTCCTCCTTTGTTGCATCTTGCAAGTCTACACGACCTGTCACGTAAACAGAACAGGAAAGATCATCAGGTTTTAGCTGGTTGTATAGAACTCCAAGATAACATGTAATCTCTTTATGGCTGTCATAGGAGGCTGAGCAACTTTTATAGAAATAAAATCTATAGCATCATCTTCCATCCACCAACATAACGCCACCCTTATGAAGTGTGTAGTGGTGATATAAACATCACTTAACCAAGTCAAAAAGCTTCATGTAGCATTTGTAGAAATCAAGACTGTAATAGCAGTTCAAAGGGGTGCCTCTGAGATTACATCAAACTAGCATACCATTGCTTGTACCATTTTGTCATGAAAAAGTAGTCTATATGTGATATTAGCAAAAGTTACTGAGGAATTCTATGCAGAAGACATTAACTAGCCATGGGGATCCCCACTTATAGAACCCATTGAGCAGCAAACTAAAGGAACTTACAATGCTCTTCTACCTGTTCTTTAGAGATATACCTCACAATCACATAGTCTTTAACCTCTTGTTTGTTTTTGTTACAGAATAATTAGTGAGATGTAATTAGATTACTTTTCACAGATAGATGACTCAATTATAGGAGCTGATCCTTAGGATATTTTCCTTAATTTTGTTTGATTTAGTTTCCTTTGATAGAGTCTTGTGTAAGTGTATAAATCTCTTGTATTCATGAATAGAAATACAACAAGTTATTCTCTCTGATTACATGGTATCAGAGCAAAGGTTGCCTCTTCGCCGAGGTTGAGCCGTCTCTGTCGCCGGCAGCTAGGTTGCTTCGCCGGAAGTTAAGCAGCAACTCTGTTTGGTGGTTCTGACATGAAAATCAACCACCAACCACTGACTCATTAAGAATCGCAACACTCAGATCTATAAGAATCAGGTGGCCGAAGATAAACGCGTGAAGTTCACACGCCGACAAACTCATCCGGACCAAGATTCTCCGGCGAGCGCGTGAGGGCGCGTCGAGATTCAAACTGTGAACCGCTTTACTTTGACGGTGATAAGAATGAACCTTGGGCCTAACTCAACCCCAAAAGCTAGCTTATGAGGTGAGGATTGCCCAAGCCATATAAGGAGACCAAGGACCTCAAATCCCTCCGATGTGGGACAACTCAACAGACGGCATCACTTTGCGGTCTCCGAGAGGTATCTGGTGGTTTCTGTTCAAAAGGACCACGGGTTGAGAGAGTTCAGTTTGGGCAGCTTTGTTCTTTTGGTGTTCGCTATCTGTCGGGTTCCTTCAGTATTGTTTCTTTGGTCAACTATATATTTGATACTCTATTTGTTGAGTAGTTTTCTGGATTTCTACTCTAAATTCAAGAGTTGCTTCAGTAGCATATTGCTAAGAGATTAGTTTGCCTTTTCTTTCGGAAATTCAAATTGTCCCTGTTTTTGCTCGAGCAGATCTGGTTAGATCCTTTTGCTTCATTTTTGTTACTGTTTCTCAGATTGTTGAGTGTTGTTTGGAGTTTTTATTTGTGGATCAGACTATTATTCTATGATTTGTTGATAATCGGTCTTACTCCAGTGAAGCTTTGTTGGAATTAAGGAAAACAATTATTATATCCTGATTGATTGAGACTTTGGCTTGGCCTCTCTCTGTAGCTCTGTTTTGTCCCTGTTGAGGAGTTGATTTACTACAAAGCTTTGTCAGTTTCTTTGATCGTGAGTTTTAGTTGGAAAAAAAATGGCTATAAAAGGTAAGCAAGGAGGAAATAATGCTACAACTCCTAGTCCAATAATCTTGGTTTCAGATGAGTTTTTGAAATTCCTTCAATGTCAGAAATCAATTAAGGAATCTTCTTCAGTTACTCCTCTTGATGGGTCACATAAAACATGTCTTATCACCTCTTCAAATAAATGGGTGATTGATTCAGGTGCCACAAATCACATGACAGGTAATCCGAATATTTTTTCTAGCTTTCGGTCACACAAAGCACCCTCTCCAGTTACTGTAGCTGATGGATCAACTTGTAGCATTGTTGGATCTTGGACTGTTAAACCAACTTCCTCTATTACCCTGTCATCTGTCTTAAGTCTACCAAATTTGGCCTTTAATTTGATTTATGTTAGTAAAATCACTAGAGACCTTAATTGTTGTGTCGCATTCTTCCCCGATCATTGTGTGTTTCTAGATCTGACAACGAAGCAGGTTATTGGTAAAGGATATTTATCTGGTGATTTCTACATCCTTGATGAATGGGAGCCACGGTCTGTTGCATGCTCTAGTGTCGTGTCTCCTTTTGAAGCACATTGTCGATTGGGACATCCCTCTCTACCTTTATTGAAGAAGCTCTGTCCTCAATTTCAGAATATTTCTTCATTGGACTGTGAGTCATATCGGTTTGCAAAACACCACCGCAGCTCAATAGCTCCAAGGGTTAATAAGCGGGTTGAGTCAGCTTTTGAGTTAGTTCATTCTGATGTTTTGGGACCATGCCCTGTTGTTTCCAAAACTGGACATAAGTATTTTGTCACTTTTATAGATGATTTTTCTCGAATGACTTGGATTTATTTTATAAAGAGTCGCTCTGAAGTGTTTACTCACTTTTGTGCCTTTTATGCTGAAGTTAAAACTCAATTCAATACTTCAGTACGTATTCTAAGAAATGATAATGCTAAAGAATACATGTCAGAATTGTTTCAGTCTTATATGAGACAACACGGTATTCTCCATCAATCTTCATGTGTCGATACACCTTCCCAAAATGGAGTTGCTGAGAGGAAGAATAGGCATCTACTTGAGACAGCTCGGGCACTTTTGTTCCAAATGAAGGTTCCTAAACAGTTTTGGGCTGATGCAGTCTCAACGGCTTGTTTTCTGATTAATCGGATGCCATCTACTGTGCTCGTTGGTGCTGCGCCTTATAGTATTCTTTTTCCTAACAAGTCATTATTTCCGGTAGAGCCTAAGGTATTTGGAAGCACATGTTATGTTCGCGATGTTCGACCATCTGTTACTAAGTTGGATCCCAAGGCATTGAAGTGTGTTTTTCTGGGCTATTCTCGTCTTTAAAAGGGGTATCGGTGTTATTCTACTGAACTTGGCAAATATCTGGTGTCAATTGATGTGGTATTTTCAGAGATGACACCATTCTTCTATGCACCTCCTATTTCTACGGGTCAGGGGGAGGATGATGAGTGGCTAGTCTATCAGGTTACCCGTACCTTGACAGAACAATCAAATAATGTTGTTCCTCCATCTCCCAGTTCTTCTATTCATAACCAATCGACTATTCTGCCCTCTGAACCTGCCCCATCTACGCTAGAAAGACCGCCAATTGTTCAAGTTTACTCGAGAAGAAAAGAGACCGATGACACATGTCGTGCACCACCTTCTTCGTCATCAGATCCTCCGCCACCTGATCTTTCTGAAAACCTTGACCTCCCTATTGCTCTTCGTAAAGGTACGCGTACTTGCAAATCCACATATTCCATTGCTAATTTTGTATCCTACGACCGCTTATCATCTACGTCTAGATCTTTGATTGCCTCTCTAAACTCCATCTCTGTACCCAAAACAGTGAAGGAGGCTTTGAATCATCCTGGATGGTTTAATGCGATGCTTGAGGAAATACACGCCTTAGAGGATAACCACACGTGGGATTTGGTGGATTTACCGAAGGGAAAGAAGCCAGTGGGATGTAAGTGGGTCTTCACAGTTAAAGTTAATCCAGATGGTTCTGTGGCGAGACTTAAGGCCAGACTTGTGGCTAAAGGGTATGCTCAGACTTATGGGGTAGATTATTCAGACACGTTCTCTCCGGTTGCCAAGCTCACTTCTGTTCGCTTGTTCATCTCTCTAGCCGCTTCTGAAAATTGGCCTTTACATCAATTGGATATCAAGAATGCGTTCCTTCATGGTAATCTTCAACAGGAAGTGTATATGGAGCAACCACCTGGTTTTGTTGCTCAGGGGGAGTATGGGAAAGTCTGTCATTTAAAGAAGTCACTGTATGGCTTAAAGCAGAGTCCTCGGGCTTGGTTTGGAAAGTTCAGTGAAGTAGTTCAGGAATTTGGGCTGAAAATGAGCAAATGTGATCACTCAGTCTTCTACCGGCAATCAGTAGCTGGCATTATCTTCCTTGTCGTATATGTTGATGACATTGTCATAACAGGAGGCGATTATAGCCTGTCGTAACAACGAAAGAAAACTCCACATACCGGAAAAGAAATTGACCTTATTCCTAGAACGGAATATAGACATTGGTACAAGAGGAGGCTCGAGGGGCCTCGATAGGTTTCATACGAAGGACTTGGGCAAGTTGAAATACTTTTTAGGAGTAGAAGTAAATAGAAGCAAGAAGGGAATTCTTCTGTCTCATAGAAAGTATATTCTTGATCTACTTGCAGAAACTGGAAAGTTGGCAGCCAAACCCTGTAGTACTCCAATGATTCCTAATGTGCATCTTATGAAAGATGATGGCGATCCTTTTGAGGATCCAGAGAGATATAGAAGGCTAGTTGGAAAGTTAAACTACCTCACTGTGACTCGTCCAGATATTGCTTTCGCGGTAAGTGTTGTTAGCCAGTTCATGTCCGCGCCTACGGTCAAACACTGGGCAGCTTTGAACAGATTCTATGTTACTTGAAAGGAGCTCCTGGACTTGGCATATTGTATAGCAATCACGGCCATACTCGTGTTGAGTGTTTTGCAGATGCTGATTGGGCTGGATCTAAAATTGATAGAAAATCTACGACAGGCTATGGTGTCTTTGTTGGAGGGAACCTGGTATCGTGGAGGAGTAAGAAACAAAGTGTTGTATCTCGATCTAGTGCAGAATCTGAGTACAGAGCTATGTCACAGTCTACGTGTGAGATTATGTGGATACATCATCTTTTAATTGAGATTGGGTTGAAGCATCATACACCTGCAAAACTCTGGTGTGATAATCAAGCTGCTCTTCATATTGCCTCAAATCCGGTGTATCATGAAAGAACTAAACATATTGAGGTTGACTGTCATTTTATTCGTGAGAAGATTCAGGAAAACTTGATTTCCACTGGCTACATGAAGACAGGAGAGCAACTAGCTGATTTATTCACAAAGGCGTTGCATGGAACTCGAGTTAATTACCTTTGTAACAAGCTGGGTATGATCAATATCTATGCTCTAGCTTGAGGGGGAGTGTTACAGAATAATTAGTGAGATGTAAATAGATTACTTTCCATAGATAGATGACCTTAGGATCCTTAGGATATTTTCCTTAATTTTGTTTGATTTAGTTTCCTTTGATAGAGTCTTGTGTAAGTGTATAAATCTCTTGTATTCATGAATAGAAATACAACAAGTTATTCTCTCTGATTGCAGTTTTTAAATCCAGACTATCTAATTCAAGATCATCTGATCGGGTAGAAAATTAGGTTCAGCAGCTATCATCTCATAGTTCAAACTGCAACAAGTGTATGTTAAATCATGTAAAGTTACCGTACCAAATAATGAAACTAAAGATGGAGGAGGCTTCGATCCATTTGAACTCGCGTCTATCCCTGCAAGATGAAGATGTTTGAAATTAGAGGTAGATCAATAGTATAGAGAGAGTATTACTCATGAAAAGCCTTACATTTGTGACAAAATGCAGTTTAGTTAAAATGACGTCACTGATGTAGACGGCTAAGCATGGGAACAGTTTGACTACTTTGAGATCTTTTGTGACAAGTGAGACAAATCTGATGCTGATAGCACAATATATTTCATGTTTATTATTCGGGCATGGGGGTGAAGAGGATTGGTGATGGTTTGCTTATTCAAGTAGTTACCTTATTGCCTTTCACAAATAAAGTAGTGTCATAAGGAACCTCACATGTTTCTAACTAACATGTCACTGCTAAAAATTGAGGAATTTAATTCAGGGCAGCGGTATTCTAAAATTTGGCACCTGAAGTTCCAGCTGATTTAAGAATATCTGATTTCTTGAAAGTATATCCAATAAAATTGGCGTCTTTTGATGTCAGCATCTGCACGTTGGAAATGACGAGTTAGGAATCATTTCTTGGTATGACTAATGACTAACCCCTTCTCAAGAATCACTGCAACAGGTAACTGATATGATCTCACTTGGACAAGCATAAAGTTTCCAAAATATTTGGATAATCAGTATTATGCTCATGCTTACATTCTAGCTTTCAGTTTTCTTTTCTATAGTGTTTTCTTTTGTTTGAGGGGAGGGAGTGAAGTAATGCATTGTGAAAAGTAATCATTACCTTTCGCCAGGGTCCCACTCTTGGTGCTGTTGATTGTGCGTCTTCAACCTGGAAGTGAAAAGTAAGCATACGTGAAGGGAAAAAAGGTTGTTTAAGGAAGATCTCACACAAACCTGCTTTGAAATAAAAGGAGAGTATCACTCTGAGCAAGACAATGAAATTCTGAGATCTCCGGAATTTGAGAATTTACATTGGATAAAAGTTGAGAACAAACGGCTTATGGAAGTGAAATGCAAATAAATGACTTCATAAGAAGCCAAAAGGGAGATATATGTTGATAGTACTCGAAAATACCCGAGATTATATATATATATATATATATATATATATATATATATATATATATATATATATAG